GACCAACAGATGCAATCTGATAAGAAAAAGATGATTTATATAGTTCCTTGTTGTGTGCTGGTATGGTAATAGGATTTTTTACTCTTAGATTCAGGTTGTGCACATCTGTTCTAAATCTGATTTTTCTAAATAAATAGGGGGGATGTTTACTTTTAAGAATCTTATAGAAATAGCAGTAGGTATGAAGTTTACGACGATTGTACATACTTAACCATCCTATTTCTTTAAGTTTGTGTGATATCCGATTCCTTTTGCGTTTACCATAAATCATGCGCAAACACGAATTTTGCACTTTTTGAATGCGATACGAGTCTATTTTCTTAAGGAAAGGTCCGTATACGGCGTCGCAGTGATTAAAGTGCGAAAGTACAAGTGAATCTGTTAACATTTTTTTTGTTTGTATGTTCATTTCAGACCTGTGCGGATAGATTAATTTTAAAGAGTAATAAGCTTTCTTAATTTTTTCACTCACGTGTTTATCAAAATGTAGCTTTGAGTCAACATAAATACCTAGATTTTTACAATGACTGCTAAAAGCCAACTTTTCTGATCCTATAAAAACTTGCAGGTGTCTCAAAAATGATTTATTGCTCTCGTTTCCGAAAATAATAGCATGGGACTTATTGGCATTAATTTTTAATAGATGTTTTTCCGATAACGAAACTAGTTTTAATAAGTCATCATTAATATTTGTATTAGCAAGATGTATATCAGATATATTAAAAGAATAATAAATCTGAGTATCATCTGCGTATAAATGGTAATTACAATGGTCTAAATGTGAGTGAAAATTTGAAGTATACAACAGAGGCCCCAAAATACTACCCTGAGGAACACCTTGATGTACTTTCAAACTGTTCGAAGTTTTATTCTCAATTTTAACTTTTTGTTAGCGATCAGAGAGAAAGGACTCAATTAGATTTACAGCTGCTTTACTAAATTTTGAATATCGCAAAATTGACAAAAGAATTGCATGATTAAGAGTATCAAACGCACGAGAATAGTCAATTAAAATGAGAATGCACATTTTATTTTTATCAAGATCATGAATAATGTCATCAGTTACAGCAGACAGGGCTGAAGTACAGCTGTAACCGCTTCTAAATCCGGACTGATTTAGGGGTAATAATTTTGTCATAGCTGCGAATTCCCTGATTTGCTTTTCCAGTATCTTTTCCAATATTTTTGAAAATGTTAGAAGAATGCTGATGCTCCTTAATTGACTAAATTCTGTGGGATTTGAAATTTTTGGTAGAGGTAGTACGTAAGCTCGTTTCCAAATCTTGGGAAAATAACTAATATTTATACATTTATTGAGAATATGTACTAAATAAAGTATAATAAATGGACAAAAAATAATAATGATTTGTATGTTTAAATTATCATTACCGTAAGCTTTGGTTTTTATATTTTTAATTATATTTAGTACCTCCATATCAGCTGTATGATTAAATTTAAATTCAGTGTTTACTTTTATATTAAAATTATTATTGTAAAAATTTACTAAGTCTTTATCTGGTTCCCGATCATCTTTAGTTTCATTTATTAAGAAGTTATTGTATGCATTTTAATTTTTTAGGGTTATCCCAATTGGCATCTTTAATGATTTTTAATTTTTTCAATTCTTGCCATTTATCTTTAGGAGTGCAATTTGTTAACTTAAACTCAAGAAAAGCTTTTTTTTCTCGCTTAATTGTAGCCAAAGTTAAATTCCGTAACTGTTTATAATAATCCCAATGAGCAACTCGCTTTGACTTTTTATACTTTCGTAGAGCTTTATCTCTAAGACTTTGCATAAGTTTAACATTGTCCGTAATCCAGGGTTGTTTTCTTTTACTAGTTTTAAATGTAGACGTTTTAATGGGCGCATGTTTATTAATTAAGTTAAGAATATTGTTATTTAAGTACTCAATTTTTTTGTCTATATTTTCTATTTCATAAATAAGATCCCAGTTTATTAACTCAATTTCATTTTGAAATTCAAATAAATTTATTCTTTGAAAATCTCTGTAACTAAAGGTTTTTGAGGAAATGGTATTTTCTAGTGTTCCAAACTCACAATATGTTAAGAAATGCCTAACTAACACTGGGTATCAAAAGCGGTTGCCTGTCTGACTTCAAAATTCGAGTAGATGTGATCAATTAGTGATATATTTTGGAAAAGACAGAAAGATTCAGTAATTGTAAGGAGATCACGGGAAATATTTGACTGTAAATTTAACAAATTAATATTAAAATCTCCCAGGCAAATTATACGATCATAATCTAAATTAACAGCGGCTAAAGTATTTTCAAACCTATCCAGAAAAATGGTATGTTCAGAGTTCGGAGGTCGGTACAAAACTCCAACACTGTATTTTTTATTATCTAATTTAAATTCAATCCAAAGTTGTTCTATAAAGTTTTCTTGCTCAGTAATAACTATTTTGTAGGTTAGACAATTTTTAACAAATAAAGCTACACCTCCTCCCCTATTTCTTATTCTATCATTACGTACAATGTTATAGCCATCGATTTTTAACAGTCTACTGTCAATACCTGGATTCAACCAAGTTTCTGTGATTGCAAAGATAAGGTAGTTTTTATTATGTATAATATGTTCAACATCATTAATTTTCGGTACAAGAGAACATATATTAATATGTCCTATGGAGACAAACATGTCGTCAAAAATGAATTATTGAATAATAAAAAATTAAAATTGGACTAATATATTATATGTATACACACACCCAAAAAAAAAAAAAAATAAAAATAAAAAAAAAATGTTTCCAGATTGATTAACTGTAAAATTTTCAAAATCCTAATTGTTATGAATGATTTTGTTTGCACAGGACAAAATCATATAAAATAATAATTAATATTTAAAAACAACGAAATAGGTAGCTAAAAGTGTACGATACCGACTAGTTTATTTGAAATAATAAATATAGTACATGAGCCGAAGCAACAAAATAAAAAAAAATTACAAATTCTTTGGATACTTATTTAATATAAATAGGTTATTTATTTTTGTGATCTTAGCCCTCTGTAAACAATTTGAGTCTTTTTTTGTGTTTTTTCTATATCAAGGTCGTGGGTTTTTGTCTTCGAGATGCTAGAATTTGAGGAAGTACTATCGCTGCGTGGAAGTCTAGTAAGATCATCTTGTAGTTATTCTACATCGTAAGGTGTTCCATCAATTATAAGAGAATTGCCTCTAATAGAGGCAGTCCGACCTTGTTGACGTGCCAACTTCTAATGATGAAATAGCAGCTTCTTCTTCTGGTAATCTTCGCTTGTATAGTCAAGAGAAATGTATATTCCGGTACCTTTTAAATTTTTTGTGTGAGATAGGATTTTACTTTTTATGCGGCTGTTGGTGAATTCAATTATGATTGGCTTAGGTTTATCTGGCGTATCTCCAGAATTTAATCTGTAAGTATCTCGAATGTCATTCTCCACACAGCTAACAACCAGTTTTTGATTAAATAACTCTATAACAGTCTCCAGAATATTTTTACCTGCTAGATTATAAATAATCAAATTATATTTTTTACTTCGTCTTTCATTTAGTAACAGTCTGGTTTTGATTTGTTCATTCTCCTTCGTTAAATTTTCAATGTTCGTCTCCAAATGATCAAATTTTTCGTGAATAACCGATTTAAAAGTTTTCAATTCGTTATTTAAATTTTCTATTTGCTTTTTTAAACTGTCATTTTGTGTTGTGATCTTTTCAAACATTGCATAAATATCATCTTTCGGCATCTCTATTTAATTAATATAAGCCCACTTACTATAAATCCAGTTCGTGAAAGGCAGACTACTTTATTTTTTGTTCCTTGTAGATAAGAGAATAAATAGCTGTTTTTGCGACTTGATTCGTAAATAATTACCAAAGAATGCAATTTATCAACGTTTAGAATAGTGCATTTTAATTGAAACAATAATGTAAAAATGCAGCTTCCTTTTCTGAGACGATGGATATAAAATAATATATATTACTCCCAAGTTAACCATGAATAACTAGCCATTTGTAGAGAGCACAGCACAGCATGTTTCAATCATTCGACATTCGGAAAATAAAAAGCTGCCTGTCTTTGCCTCGGTTACTATTTTTTTTTTTATAACTTTTCCAGAAAAATTAAATATGGCAAAATACAAATTTTTGTTCAGTACTCTCAAAAACAATGTAAAAGCCACTCTATTTTTAAGGTCCGTGCATTGTATGGCTAAGCTATTAATTAAAGTACTCACTGACTCTATTATCTTATTATGCACACCATCGTATAAGATTTAATACTATGTAGGTACTTTTTAAATACTTTAATAAGATCGAGCACAAAAAAACACAAAAAACACGTTTTTAGTAGAGGGGGGCGGGCTTTATTTTTAATTTATTTTTATAGTTATAGCGGCAACACAAATACACATTCTGTGAAAATTTCAACTGTCTACCTATTACGGATCATGAGATACATCCCGCTGATAGACAGACGGACAGCGGAGGCTTGGTAATAGTGTCCAGTTGGTTAACGTTCGATTAGGGAACTCTAAAAAATGAACAAACACTAGAAGGGGACCGATGATTTTTTGTCAGTTTCTTTAAACGTTATCCCTAAATGTAAAAGGTAATCCACTAACACTTTATTCAGTAATATGCCTTTCTATATACCACATTCGTACAACCACTAATTTCGAATTTTGATGAATTTTGGCTCTAAAAATCAAAATTTTTAATTTACATATTTTGGCCATCGGTTGATTACTACTTTCCAATTTATTAGTTTCAACTTAGCTTAACAAATTGGTATACAGGAGGTGCCACAAAGAATTTTGGTATTTTTTAGTATGAAATTATATTTTTATGTAGTGCTGATTTAAATTGTAATAATGTATTACTTTTAAAAATTCAAGCTTATTAAATTAAATTTCAATAAATTTTTACGTTCCTACAATTAGAATTAATTTTTAATAGAATGCTTCTGCTAAAGGGTTTAGTTAATTTTTTAACAACTTACATAAGGGTATTGTCCTGGGTGTATACTAGGGTAGTTTATAGCCGCCATGTTTTAACTTTTTTTTTAATTGATGAAAATAATATCTATTCTTTAAAAACTTTAAACATCACTGCCAAAATAATCATGTAGCACGTCAGTAAGAACTGACTACCAGAAATGATACTGACATTAGTGACATCACATACAAACAAATTGGTATATAAATTATAGTGCAGTAAAAGTGTCAAAAATTTTAATAAAATCTTCCACTCCGGTAGTAACAGCTTGGGTTGGTTCCTTTGATGTCATAGTGGTCAGACTTTTATTGACAGTTGTCGGTTTTATATGCCGAGTTAGTATCTTTGTAATAGTATTAATTTAAGTTTTTAGTAACAAATTAAAGTAAGGAAATTTGTATTTTATTCAATAAAAAAAAAATGGCAATAATACTAGTAGGTAAAAATATTGTTCGAAATTAGGAATTATAAAAGAGTACATAATATTTTGTAATAATATGAAAATATGAAAATCTTCCAAAAATAATGATTTTTGAATTGTAAACCCTCTTCATTGGTGGCAAGTTTTTATTTTGACTGATTTTGACTTTTTACATGTAATGGACTTGCTTCGAATTTTTCGAATCCTACTATTTTGATTTCTGAAATCTTTATTTGGTCACTATTTTAGATCATCTTGCTTTTTTTTGGGGGGGGGGGAACAGAACAAATGTATTTTTTAGGCGACTGTCATAAAAAATTACATTTTCCGGATTTATTAACATTTCTAAAGAGTCACTATTTATGGCCGTTTTTTATAAACACAGCTTTATCATACTTTTAAAACTTAAAACTCGTTATATGGTACAGGTATATAAATTTAAAGAAACCCTTGTATAAGTACAATAATTATTTACATCTTATATTCCCTCTTACATTTAAACCAGATCTAAAACTGACATCTGCAAAAACATTTTTTTCTACGCTAGAATATAGGAATGGATCGAATTTTTTGTACTTCAATATATTTAGACTTTTTAGTACTCAAAACTTCTGTTAATTAGGGTCGTCTTTTCACCTTTGAATAAAATGAGAGTAACGTATGTCCCAATCAATGACATATGTCATTGGTCCCAATAGGTTTGGCACAAAAATTAGGAGTCAAAAAATTGTTTATTCTTTTTGACATTTGTTAGACAAATCGTTTTTAATGTCAGTTGCCTTAAAATGTCTTATAAGAAAAAGTATTTATAATTTGGTTGGACGTATTCCTAAGGCTGAAACAGTTCGCATTTTTCAAAACCAAAATATTTCACGCAGAAGTATTTATCGTGCTATTGCCGAATGTGAAGAAGGAATACCTTGTCTAAATCTCCCAAAAAGTGGAAAAGTGGAAGATTGGTAAGAAGAGCAAAAGACAGAGTAGGGGTTTCCATAAGAAAATTAGCACGTCAATTTGGTTGTTCAAAGAGTACAGTATCTCAAGAATTAGCAAGAAATGGTCAGAAATATCGAAAAAGACGCAAGTGTCCTAAATATACCCCAAAACAGCACGGATACCAAGATGCTGTCGTCAACTTAGAGGGAAAGCCCACACATGCGACACGTCGCGCGCGACTGATCGTGAGGCATCGCGCGTGGCAATACTTTAGATGTTTTTAAATGACTCAAAGCCCATTAACGCGGTTCTGTCGCGTGGTCGCACGCGGCTAAAAATTAGAAATGACAAGCCCGCGATTTTCCTGCCGCACGCGGCCAGCGTTATCATGGATTCATATCATTGATCTGGCAACCTAGGGATACGACATGCGTAATCGGAAAGTGGCACCGGTCCGCCATTACTGTGAGTGCAAATTGTCAAATTTTATAGGTTATATTTTAGTGTCATTTGTGTTAATAAATTTGAATTTAATTTGTATTTGAGCAAATTTTGAGTGTTACAAACTTATAAAGTTTATAATGCCTTGTTGTGTTATATGTTCCTGGTCTAGCGATAGTCGTTTTTGTAAAAAATCGACTGGAATAACGTTTCTTAGGTTAGTATCAAAATTATAAATATTATACAGGACAGTATTATGACATGTTTGTATAAAATGTGTAAAAGTATGCTTTTAAAAATGCAAAAAAATATCATCTATCAACTTTTGGGCCTACCTATATTGGAATAATACTTTTTCATATGAAATCATATTTATAGATTTCCAGAAAATCCTGAACAACGTAGCGCGTGGATATTTTGTCAACAGGCATAATTGGGAACCTTCTAAATTCAGCTGTATATGTTCCAAGCATTTTCTTGAAAAGTACATTAATTGTACGCCATGTCGTTTATCAACTTTATAGACATTTTATTTTCTTATTTCTATTTAAATATAACCTACATTTGCTGCTTCCACCAGTTTTATTTATATTAGTTCTACAGCTGATTGAAAAGTAGAGCTTCATGTTTTGTGTATGCATGAGTATTATTTGTTTTATTATAGTTAATTTAGAACAATATTAATAGATCTTTTTAATTGCCTATAATGTGTTTCAGATATCACTCATAGATATGGATAAGAAAATATTAAAACTTTATTCTTTGTACACTTTTATTTAATCACAGCACACATTATTTGCATTTACAATATTTGCTTGACTTTTATATGCCCCATTCTGTTTTGTTCACCTTTTCTAGTGGCTTTTTCTGTTAAACTTTGGTCACTATTTTACCTACAGGTAACGAATTATTCAACCATTTAATCAACAATGAGGTTTTACTTATTTTACAGTAAGTTACTTATCTTTAATATTCAAGTTTTAGAATTTGAACTTGGCTTAGGCCATTTTCATCAATTTTGTTCTTAGAGCTTTTGAAAAACAATTGGAAAGTACTCTCACAAATTTATTTCTTATTTTGCCTAGCGAAGAAATTGTGTATTATGAAATATTCTTGTTTTTAGTTGTTAAGAAAAGCGCTTACAGCAGATGATACTTTTCCTAACTCGACAAACATTTATTACCTAGATGTTGGCCTCCCTTTATCACCAGCCTACAATTTTAACTCTTATTTTTAACTTCATCTGTGACTTTAACTATGATTGAGACTTTAACTTTATCTTCACATTCTTTGTCTGACTTTCAATCATACATGCATGATTATTGTGCATAGACCAATTAAATTGGACAGACACTCTTGTGGTGATGTTGTTACTATGGTAGGCCTTTACATAAGTAGTCATAATCTCTGCAGATGGTGAGAAGCCCAGTTTAAACCAACCACCATATTATCCTCACTGGATCTATAAGTCTCAAGTAAGATCACTTCATATTTTACATTTGTTAGAAGTGCACCTGTACCTACCTGCACACCGCTGGTTGTGGCTTCGCTGATTTACTGAATGTCTTGCATGAAGATACACATCTTTCAGTCTAAATCTACAAGAGTACCAAGACCAAGTAAAATTAAGCCACATTTTGATTTCCTGAATAGTGCATCTACCTACACAGAGATTTATTAGCCATTTTCCTCGAGCCTTGCATTAAGTTTCATATCGGATTATCGAACTTTTAGTGAATGAACATTTGTTCTTAATTTCGAGGAAGCTGTTAATTAAAGTAAGGTTAGATTACTTGACATTTGCGACCTTGTACTTTCCGATTTAAAGATAGAAACAGAAAGCATTGGGCTACGTATAGAGTAAGTGTTCTGTGCTACGTATGTGCCCTAGTGAAAAAGTGTTACGACTGATCCAATAAATCGAATTCGCTTTATTTTTGTCGCTTATGTGAACCAAAAATATGCTATTTATTTTTTCTGTGAATGATTTTAACGCTTTAGGATTATTTCCACAAAGTTTAAACAAACTAATTGAAGATTAAAATGGTGGAATCGGCCCCAAGTTAGTTATATCATGGTCATTGATTAGTTGCAATTTTGCAAATAATATATTCTCCAGCACTTAATAGTCACACTTGAGTGATAATTAAATCAGTTATATTTTATTTCTTTCATTTACTTTATTCAGCACCTCTCGGCTGAAAACCGGGTATATTTAATTCTTTAGGCCCCCTTCTTTTGTACCTTGGCCTTCCAACACCTTTTAAGTCAATGTGTAAGTTTTTATCTATAATAAAGGAAATTCATTTTTTATAGTTCAAATAATGATACTTAACCAGAAATAGTACAATAAAAACTTGTAAATCCGGTTCTGCTCTCCCGCCATTTTAGTGAGTGCAAAAGCCACGCCTACCGGTCCCAATTTTGTATATCAAAAATATTTACATATGACGTATCCTTACGTTGCCAGATCAATGATTCATATGCACCATCACTTATACAAACGTCAAGTCGCGTGCAAAACGCCAGTTGAGAGTTGGAATTTCCTGTTAACTTTTGACAGTTCCAGTGAAAAAATGTCCGACAGTTGTAATGATATAGAATTTATATCCGATATTCAAGACCGACCTGAAATATCGAACAGTTAATTGAAATAAAATAGCAAAAAAAATATTTGTTCGGGAATCTGCGCTAGCAGTTCGTCAAAAGACACTACTCCCATTCTGAAATATTTGAAGAACTTATATTCGTGTTGACGTAAATCCTTATGTAATAAATTAAATGAGCCTTTTACATAAGGGTCTATAAATAATGGATGAACCCAGTACCTACGTCGTTTCAATTTTTTCCGCCGACAAACAGAATAAAACAACACCTTTACTACTTCTTCCACCTCTATTTTGATACTGAACGTCTGTGTCGCTGCTTATCGTCTGTTAAAAATCACACCTAAAAAATCGCATGCGGCAGGACGCGCGCGACATGCCGCGTGAGTGAGCTTTCCCTCTAAGGCGGATACATTTTGCAAATGAAAGAGTCATTATTAAAGACGATGAAAAATATTTTACACTCTTTTTTCAACCATACGCCGACCGGCATAGACTCTAATGGCCTGGACACAGCTTAAATTGAAAAAACCTAACCTAACCAACCCTCATTAGTGGCCAGTGAACCTCGATCCCAACTTTTAACGAACGTGTCTTGTATCGTGGGCATATAATAATATGAAAATATACAATAAGGAAAAGAAGCAACGACTTCTTGTAGGGTGGCGCCGCCACCAGAAAATTTTTGAACTATACCTGGCTACGCCTACCGGCATAGACTCCAACGACCTGGACACAGCTCAAATTGAAAAAAAACCTAACCTAACTAACCCTCATTAGCGTCTGGCCAGTGAACCTCGATCCCAACTTTTAACTAACGTATATTTATCATGGGCATCTAATAATAAGAACATATACACTAAGTAGATGAAGCAACGAATTTTTGTAGGACTCCAACGGCCTGGACACAGTTCAAATTGAAAAAAAAAGTATTTTTTACAAATATTACATATGTACCGACATGCCGTAATTAACGTACACTCATCATGAAATGAAATAAAAAACAGTTTTCTGTGATTACTACAAATGTGTTTACTTAGAGATCCAAATTTACCTGCTGGTCAGACACTATGTAATTTTTCAGCCAACTTTCATTATCCGAATTATTTCCTGACATATGTTTTCTTACTCGATTAGGCAACACCGCATTTATAGAAACTAGACACGTCAATTGTCATTGAAAACAATTTACTGTGTCTTTGTTTTTCTAACAAACTAAAAATGAAAAATAAGAAAATTTGATCGTTTATGAAAAAATTTGGTACCGTTTATTGCTCTATGAATGGTCTAATATTGATATTTAGCCGTTTCTACAACAATAAATCAGTGAAAGTGGTTTATTTCACATTTGTTTTATGATGGAGACCCGACAACAAATTTTAAGGATTTTAAGGTAAAAAAAAATTTTTAAGTGCGGACCCAAAATTGTTATGTATAGTGTGTTTCAAAGTGTCTAGAAACTCTTTATAACATTTCAATAGTTATATTCGCAGTTCGAGTGTCGGCTTATAACAGCCCGAAAGGTATATTAACAACTGCCTCACTAAATTAGTTGATTTTTTACGCCAACATCACGATGGACACGATATAATGTTTTGGCCCGACTTAGCGCCATGCCATTATGCAAGAACAACTCAAAATTGGCTTTACCAAAATAACATACCTTTTGTACCAAAAGAAGACAACACTCCCTAATTTACCTCAGGCCCGCCCAATTGAAGATTTTTGGACACTTTTATCTCGCAGATTGTATGATGAAAAGTGGCAAGCCCAAAATGAGAAACAACTACGGCGAAGAATTTTTAGAAAAATATGCGAAATAGATGTTGTAGCCGTCCAGGACCTAATAAGCAACGTTCGCAGAAAATTGAGTTGAGGAGCACGGACCCCTTCATTTGGTTTAAGTTCATAATTTTGTCAGTTACTAAGTCGTTAATTATATCAAATAATAAAGGTTTAAATAAAGTGACTTATTACAAAAATATAGGGTTAACTATTTTGTGCCAAAACTATTGGGACATACGTTAACTACTTGCTGATTAAATTATACATCCAGTGTTTGTTAATCTGTCAAGTAAACCAACTTTACTCACAGGGGAAAAGATTGAAAAAAAGATTATTTTATGATAAGCATTTTATAAAATAATTAATAGACTATGTACTTGTATAAAAAGACTTTAGCACAAAGGTGTAAATTTATAAAATTTGATTGTTCTCAAGCATATGTAATAATTTACTAAATATGGCAACACTCAGTAAAGTTGAGTTCAAAATCAGTGGTTCAAACAGAGGAGAGGTAATAAGGAAAATTAATTATATAGTAGCCTATTTGTGCAACATTTTATTGGATAATACGAGGTGTGTCAATTAAGTAATGAGACTGTTTTCATAAAATCCGTATATTTAAAAATTATTCTACAACTCTGCCATCCCCTTCAAAGTAGACCCCATGGGCAGCTATACAACGTTTCCAGCGCATTTTCCATGCTTCGCAATATTTCTGGAACGCTTCGACTGGGATGTCTGCGAGTACCCTCGTCACGGTCTTTTTGATGTCCGTAACCGACTTAAAATGGGTTTGACCATCGATTTTGCTCCAGGGAACAGAAAAAAGTCACAGGATGACATATCAGGTGAATAAGGTGGCTGTGGAAACACAGTGATCCCTTTAGAGGCCAAATATTGGGACACGCTGTGGGCAGTGTGGCACGGCGCGTTGTCTTGATGAAGGATCCAGTTGTTTGCGATGTCTGGGCACACCCTGTTGACTCGTTTTCGCAATCTTTCGAGTACTTCGAGGTAGTAGACTTGATTTACGGTTTGTTCCGGTGGAACACATTCTTTATGGACAATTCCACGTCTACCAAAAAAGGTCAGTCCGCACCTCGACTGGTCTCTCGCTCCGCGGTCTTCAACGCTTTTCCTCCCTCCTTAAAGTCTTTATGCCTTTGAAACACCTGGGCACGACTTAAGGCACTATTACCATACACTTTTACGATTTTAGTGTACGTTTCCGAAGCTGTTTCGCCCAATCTGGCGCAAAATTTTATCGCGGCGCCTTTCTCTAGATTTTTCTTTTCCATTTTCGTGACGAGCACCACCAGCACCCATCTACTAAACACGACATAGCCGGCGAACTAAACAAACTAGAGAGATGGTAAAAATATTAAGGGAAAGGGAAAGGATCTCGGGGAAGGGGAAAGGGAGTTTCAAGGTCGCAGGTTTACTACAAGCACGGCAATAAATTCGGTCTCATTACTTAATTGTCACACCTCGTATGTGAAAAACGTCATATCATTGTTTCTTTCTTTTTCACACACGTTTTTGCTGGTGTTTTCCTGTGAGAATGATCGTTTTTGCTGTATACACCATTTTTTTGTTTTTCAAGTAACTCCGTGACGATTAGCTTTATTAATAGTAATAAATTATTACTTTGTAAATAATAGCTGAGAATAATAGTAATAAATTATTACTAAGTAAACCAGTTCAGCATATACTAAAGACTCTCAGCTATTTTGTCGTGTATTTAACTCATTTTTAGAAGTAATGACTTTCATCGTTTTTGCTGTTTGCTCTTTATTTTATTGAAGCATGTTTGGTCTAAATCTCATATTTTGATCCAAACAATATACACCTCCTGGACCCCCACCATAATCCGTTTGTAGCGTGGCGGCAATGCAGCCTGCGGTTTATTGTACCTTAAAAGGTCCTACTACTTTCACATTCATGAATTTACTCACTTATATGAAGACTACTCACTTATTCGTTGTCAATCATTCTACGTCATCGATGGTTAACGCTAATCGGCTAAGTCCCATGGTGGAACTTTCCAGCCGCCACTTATTTTCGACCTGGACCAGAGATGTCACTGCTTCGAGCATTATGCTCGAGTGTCACTGCAGCTTACTTTATTTCCCAGTAGTAATTATTCACTTTGCATATTATATATAAACATCATTTTTTGTAATAGAGTGAATCTTGCAAAAAATATATCGTTTGAAGTATATTTACATTTTAGTATGCTACACCTCGCTTCTACGTGAAAAGCCTGGCGATCCTATCCTATGCATAGTCAAAGAAAGAAACACATTCTTCTTATTAAATTATTATCCATTCATTTCTTATTTAAAAGCGAGGCGGCTTGATTTTTTTACTGACAACAATGGTAACTAAATTATTATAAATTCACTGTGCTACGTAAAATAACCATCAAATAACATAAAACAAATATACCTACAGAGGTACAATGTGTTATTTTGATATGTCTTAAATAGAAAGAGAATGGATAATAAACTAATGAATAGTTTTCATTTTGGTTGTTTTACATTACATATTTTACTGTACTAATACTAAAGTTTGATCAATAATAATCGCGATGCATAAAGACGAGGGTGTTGATAAGCATTGTTTATTTATTTACACACTCGTTTCAATGCAGATAAAACTAGGGGAAGTAAATACCTAGGGTAAAAATAGTATAGAGCATTCAATATAAAAACCGATACACGTCATCAATCAGTTGTGAAGTCATAGCCTTGCAGTGTTGCCCAATCTTCAAAATAGTCTAAGAATGTAGGAATTTTTAAAACTATGAGGTTATGTTTTTTTGGCTATGTTATTAGGAACAATTAATTTTAAATGTATAATGAATTCTATATAAAAGCCAATGAAGGTCATTAATAATGTTTAAATTGAAGTTTTAGAAAAACACTGAATTTAGGAGTAATAATTTTTGCACAAGAAGTTTAAAATGACAAAAAAAGGTTAGATTAAGGATGAAAAAACAGACAAATTTTATTTAGGCTTGATTTAATTTACAATAAAAAATAATTATGTTCAGTTAGTTTATAAACATCCATATTTAAAAGAAATAACAATAATAATTAGAACAGTTAGGTAATAAAATTAACAACACATGACATTTTAAAACTTAAATAATATTTAAGCTAAAATCAGTCAGAATAATCAGAACTAAAATCAGAATCATCTCTATTTGGTGTTATAATAATGGGAACAATTTCCAATCGGTCCAGTATATGCTCTCTTTCACACCATTTAAAAATTTCTTTTTCAGTGTGTCTTACACTGTTTGCCCACATTTGTGGGGTAATGGTTCGGAGTGCTTCTGACCACATGTCTATACAATCTTTTTGTGTAACAAAGGCCCATTATTATCACGTTCTTTCTCAAAATAATTTATTAGAGAAGCCACTAGTTCCTTGCAGCGACTATTTAATTGTTTTGACATTTTTCAATGAAAAAATACACAATAAACGAACACCACTATTACATTCCTAATAAATTTGTTCTGAAAAGAACAGTTTGTTAATAATTTAATCTAAAATACAAATAATTTGTTGAAAAGAAATCGATCGATGCAAAATAATACAAAACAAATAACAATTGACAACAATGTATTAAAATTGAAAGCTGACACATTTGATGCCAACTTTTATTATGAAATTCACTAGAAAGTATTCCGTTAATAATCTGCCTACAGTACATTTACTACTGTGATATGATAAAAAAAACATTTTTAATATACAATTTTATTAAAATGAACCCCCATGCGTCTAAATTTATTCATTTATTTGCAAAATAAAATTTAATTATTTTTATTAGTGTGTGTGGTACCAATGACTGTCACTGACGTCATCTCTATATTGAATGCTCTATATTAGTTTTTTCTCCAATACTTTGTTACTTCTTTAAGGCCCTGCAAAATTACGGTTCCAATTTTTGTTCCATCAGTTTGCACTGAGTATATCAGGGACTGGTAACTCAAATAAAAAAAACATGAGGAAAGTAATTTAATCCCACTTCAATTAACGGGATGGCACTCGTATTGAAACAACATTTTCAGAGCACGTTGTTACTTGTTATGTCAGATAATTTAATATGGCTGTTGCCGTTGACGATGCATTGGGTTTTAATTAATCTAGATATATTTTTCAATACCACGGATATTAGTAGTGATGCAATTTATACATTATATTAAATATGCGGTCGTCATTTAAAGGATAACTAAAAAGTTAGAAACGAACATTTAAGGAAAATACAAATCTTGCACTGTTTTGCACTAATGCAATGGTAAGCAATATTTACAAACTTGTTTTTGATTCAGTGTTAAAATAAATGGTTTGTTATTTTATTTTTTTTTGTTCTTAATTTTTAATGTTCATTGTTATTGTCGTTTTATTTTCTTCTTTTACTGTTGATTGGTATTAAATTTGTAGATAAAGCAACATTACCGTAACTATTGATAAAAATTTAACTGAATGCATTTTAATTAAAAAATTGTCTTGAATAGTTATGGGGCATGTTATATTTATTTATATATTATATTGTATAAAATAAATATTTAATTAGAAATTAAAAAAAGGTTAAGGGAAGATTTAAGTATTTAATAGTATAAGGTATAATAATAATAATATAATAATAATACTCTCCCTAATTCAACCCCTTACGAGTGAATTTTAACCCCAAAAGCTGAGCTTGTCCGTGGAAAGGGGCGGTTATTAATATTATTTGCCGTGGCGCTCCGGGGCGACTTAAAGATGATTGATGGTGCCATTTGACCCACCATCATCGAAAACGGTAATGCATGGTGATTTTTAATAATCTGGATGTCATATCAGCAGAAATTAAATTTCTGCTAATACGGCATCCATCAAATCCTATAGAGAATCATGCAAATAAATTCACATAGTCTTCTGTAGGATCCGAAACCGTGTCTCGTTTACCAGAAAATTGGCTCGCATGAATGCGACGCCGTAGATACCTGCGCCACCGTATGGTCTGTAGTATGGTCTATAGTATGGTATGTGGTATGGTCTGTGGTATTGTATGTGGTATGGTCTGTGGTATAGCCTGGGGTATGGTCCTCTT